CTATTCTATTCTTTTCTTTCTGTTTTATTATCTATTCTATTCTATTCCTAATTCTATTCTATTTCTGTATTTTATTATCTATTCTGTCCTGTTCTATTTTATTATCTATTTTATTATCTTCCTATATTTTATTATCCATTCTATTCTATTTTCTAATTCTGAATTCTATTCTATTCTTTCTATATTTTATTATCTATTCTATATTTTATTATCTATTCTATTCTATTCCTAATTCTATTCTATTTCTGTATTTTATTATCTATTCTGTCCTGTTTTATTCTATTTTATTATCTATTTCATTATCTTTCTATATTTTATTATCTATTCTGTCCTATTTTATTCTATTTTATTATCTATTTTATTATCTTTCTATATTTTATTATCTATTCTTTTCTATTTTCTAATTCAGAATTCTATTCTATTCTTTCTATATTTTATTATCTATTCTATATTTTATTATCTATTCTATTCTATTCTCTAATTCTGAATTCTATTCTATTCTTTCTATATTTTATTATCTATTCTATATTTTATTATCTATTCTATTCTATTCTCTAATTCTGAATTCTATTCTATTCTTTCTATATTTTATTATCTATTCTATATTTTATTTATATTCTATTCATAATTCTATTCTATTTCTATATTTTATTATCTATTCTATTCTATATTTTATTATCTTAGCTTCCAGGTGCTCGCTTAGAAAGGATTTTTCAAAATGAGCATTAGTATTTCTTATATTGTTATTAACACGCTCTGATGCTAAGGAGTTAGACGTTCTACTCTCCCTCCCCACCGGAAAAGAACTCTGTTCCAACCGCCACCTGGGGCATGGGGTGTGGCCAGCGCGTGACTCATCTGGTTGGGATGAGGATCAATGGGGCCGGCCTGAGGGAGAGAAGGGGAGAGAAGAGGCCGATCCTAACTACAAAATTAATAATCTTAACAAGATTATTAATATATATTCTGTGTTTTTTCCCCATGAAAGCTGAAATTCCACCTCTATACACATTTTGCTATTAAAAAAAACGACATCAGGAGGTTATTGTTGTTTTTTTTAAAGTTTTATTTCTCTTCTTTCACAGTAAATCTGATACAGGCAATTAAATAATTCTGCAAATAAAAATCAAGACCAAAAAATAATCATAATAATAATCAAGAAAGTTAAAAAGCCGAGTTTTTTTAAAGTTATGAGTGCCATTCATACATACGTGTTCTTCAAAGGTGCATCTTTAAAACTGTATAACGGGAGGAAATTTTAATGGTACCGTGAAGAATAAAACCCGAAGGAAGTTTAAAAATAAAATAAAATAAACAACCCTCTGTTGCCATTTCCTTTTTGTTTAAAATATGTGGTGTTTTTTTTTTCGTTTTGTTTCTCCGCCAAATAAAGATACAGACAACCGATGTCGCAAACATCTCCAACCATTAATTAATGTTGGCTAAAAAGAGATCGTCATTAGTTCGGTCAGCAATTTTCCCCCTGTGGTTACGGTGGAAACCGGGATTTCTCTTAGTACAAAGTGCCACTATCACAACAGATTAAAACAACTGTACACTCAGGAACAGAAGACTTTTTTTGTGTCGGTCGTAAAAGAGGAGAAAAGAACGGGAGAGTGGAAAACCCAGGATTAGAAATCAAAACCAACAAACCGCCTTCGCAAATGCCATGGCAATTACATTTTGCAAGGAGACCACCCGCCAGGGCCGTCGTAAAACAGCCCCCCCCCCATGCCCAAAAGCCGCTGCATTTGTGGGATTGCACTCATAGGATTTGGGGAGGCCAAGCCAGCTTCCTAGACATTTTTTTTTGTTGTTCTTGAGGACTAGCCTCGTGCAAAATCAGCATCATTTTGCACCTTCGCCCAGGATGGCGTTTCTCAACCTTTGGCACCTTGCAATACAATAGCAGAGTTGGAAGGGACCTTGGAGGTCTTCTAGTCCAACCCCCTTGCTCAGGAAGGAAACCCTACATCACTTCAGACAAATGGATCCCCAACATCTTCTTAAAGACTTCCAGTGTTGGGGCATTCACAACTTCTGTTCCTCTGATTAATTGTTCTCACTGTCAGGAAGTTTCTCCTCAGTTCTAAGTTGCTTCTCTCCTTGATTAGTTTCCACCCATTGCTTCTTGTTCTACGTTGAAGACAGGTGGATTACAGCTCCCGGAATTTCCCATCCAATTAGGTAACTTTGATGCGCCGATAGGACATCTAATGCATTCCCAGTGTAGATGGTGGGAATGCGGTCGATGTAATATAACTTTTTAATAGATGGAGGGAATGCGGTCGATGTAATATAACTTTTTTAATAGATGGAGGGAATGCGGTCGATGTAATAGCAGTTAGACTTATGTACCGCTTCATAGAGCTTTCAGCCCTCTCTAAGCGGTTTACAGAGTCAGCATATCGCCCCCACAGTCCGGGTCCTCATTTTACCCACCTCAGATGGAAGGCTGAGTCAACCTTGAGCCGGTGAGATTTGAACAGCCGAACTGCTGAACTACAGTCAGCTGAAGTAGCCTGCAGTGCTGCATTTAACCACTGCACCACCTCGGCTCTTGGTAATATAACTTTTTAATAGATGGAGGGAATGCAGTTGATGTAATATAACTTTTTAATAGATGGAGGGAATGCAGTCGATGTAATATAACTTTTTAATAGATGGAGGGAA